TAACGGGTCAACTGCGCACGATAGACGACGTGCCTGTGCATCTGCGCCATTGGCCACGTTTCCAGGCCGAGAGTTTCGATGTCAATTTGCAGCTTGTCCACAAAGTCGAAGAGCTCGCCAAGGCAAAAGGCTGCACACTCTCTCAGCTTGCCATCAACTGGGTCCGAGCGCTTTCGAAGCGCCCTGGGATGCCGACTATCATCCCAATCCCGGGTGCCACAACATCGGAACGCGTGGTAGAGAATTCGAAGCTTGTGGACATCAGTGATGAGGAAATGGCTCAAATCGACGATATCCTGTCGAAATTCACGACCGTGGGTGAGCGTTACCCAGAAGGTATCCCCGTGAACACGTGAGGGGTGGGATCAACTGGATTCTGTATATAGTCTTAGTGGCTCTAACCATGTTCATGTACCGAGATGATGCTAGAGATCACCGTCTAAGAGGTGATAAGGAAGACTCAGCTCACGCAAAGGACTGGGAGGAGAATATAATATCTACTTGAATCATCTTGCAACCTTTTCTTCTTGTCATTGACAAGTTTCCCTTGGTTATTTCCCCTGTAGGTGATCGTTATTTGCCACGTGATAACTGCAGGAAGACCAGATCTAGATATGGCCATCATCGACTCCTGCTGCCGGGATTAATATTCCATGCTAGTGATCGATACATGAGGATGCCTATCCTTTTCAGAGGACTAACCTGATCAAAAATGAACAGGTTTCGAATGCTTCGTGTACTGCAGCAGGGTTTCCAGTTGAAGTTCAGCGATTTACACAGAGACTGGTATCATAACCCGAGCCATCCACCTCCTCTAAAGTTAGGAGTCCTGACTCCCCACAGGTATTCCAGATCACTGCACCCCGGATTTCTCCACAGATATGCGTTCTTGTTGCACTAGATCCTATAGCTACCCCAAGCTGTTTGACCGCACTGGCCACCAACCCCATTGGGGGACAGTCACACGTCGGTAGCTTACCCGAGCTTTGCTTTCAGTGTTATAGAGGAGATTATAATCGAAGTTCTATAGTGTTCAAGAGTGGTGAACTAGTGTCCTTCAAAGCGCCATGAGAAACTTCTTTCCTCGTGCTTGAGCCCTCATAATTGGTCCTCTGAATATCCACTTTATTGAGCAACATCAGGCACAATGGCGGCTGATGAGAAGGGAGATATCGAGCATATTTCCTCACCTCCAGCAGAGGAGAACAATATGCTTGACAGAGCACTATCCGCGACTACCGAAGAGGATCATGTTGCTGCTGACGCTACTGATTACTTCCACCTCCCCAACTTCATTATAAACCTGCAGGGCCATATACTGACACCGGCATCAACATTGTTTTAGTTGGCACCGTTTCCAAGCCGCCGCCGTTGAGATCAAATCACATGCGGCATGAATGTCAGCAATCAGTTTGTGGCGTTTACAAGTAGTTGGTGAGGCTGCTAATGTTAAGACAGGTAAGTTTGACTGGATGATTGGCGGTGAACCTTACTTGTCTCGACTGTCACATGGCCACAACCCGTATTCACTTGGGCCGTACTTTATTGTGAAGCATGTGTCATTTTCTAGATACTCGAATTCTTGAGGCGATAGGCAAACCTCCGCAGTAGCAGGATAGATGTTGCTGTAGTACAACTCGCTTAAGCACCTATCAAAGTACTAGGGCGACCGCAGTGCGTCATATTCCATACGACTTTGGTGGTACGGCGCCGACCGGCAACACAAACAACTCTCGAGATAAGGTCGGGCCTTCATGAAGAAGGGAAGAACGGGCAGAAGCCCTCCTGGCACTCGTCCTGCAACCCTTTAATTCTTGCGACGACCGGAAAATTGGCATATTTTTATTACAATGAACGACGGCCTTCTACTGCAGCGGTATAAAACATCGAAGGTTAATTGTATCAACAAAAACAAAACCGTGAGAACCAAAAGCGATGTCCGTAATATTATTCCGTGATACGGTGTGCGGACATCCCACTACCAACCGACAGATTTTCCTCCCGCAAGGCATTTGCTTTAACGTCGTGCCTGGCAGCACTTCCTTCGTCGTGACGACATTGCCATACTGCTCCGACGGAGGAGATTCAGAACTCTTGGCTTTTCCAGAAGTTGGATGTCCACTTCGAGACGAGGGTATTGAAATGTCCGGGGGACTAGCTGTTACCGAATCCGGGTGCCATACACTTCAAGGTCGCGACATTCGGAGTTTGCAGGTGATCTGTCTCTCATATCCCAAGGGCGAACCGACTGTGGCACCTACCATCGGCGGGAGTGTTAGCAGAAGAAAGCCATATCTGAGCTTCCTGTCATTACTCTGGGTATCAATTATTCTATGGAATATGACCTTCATTGCATGACCTACAATATGGGGACTGAATTGATCAAGGCATTCTGAACATGGAAAGCTTCGTCCTTGGTCAACAAACAACTACTCCATCAGCGGGGATGGATGACCTTATCCAACATAATCAAATCGGAAATCAACGATTGGTGCTGGATTTCAACGAGGGCGCCTTCTCATCTGATCCGCCACGGAATAATCCGGCGATGCACGTCATGCAGAAAGAGACTTGCCGTGAGCTCTCAATCTCCAAGACCTGTTACATGGGAAAAACAAATTGGTATTTCAGCACACCCTGACGATGACAAAAGGATTCGGACCTCAAGGGCAAGCGGACTACCACTTTCTGAGTTTTCGCCACGTTGATTTGGAAATCTGATTGGTAACGATGGCTCGCCGGGCGTTGACACCAGGCCATTGCACAAATTTGATCACTAGCGGCTAGATAGGCTGAAGCTGATCCTCTTTAAGACACGATTCAGAATTTTTGCTTGTTGAAGATTTATCGCCGAATAATTTACGCTTTTCGGAGCTGTTGCTCCTTTGTTCTTGTTCAGGGGTAATGTCTTTCTCTTTGTATCTCTCTCAGCCGCAGCCTATTGCAAGCAAGCTTGACGTCCGCGTACTACCTACAAGAACTTTCTTCTATGAATAGAAAAGCAATTTAAATGATGAAGCTGTCGTAGCTAGTAGCATATATAAGCTGAGCTGAGGATGATAACGATAAGTCGTATGTCAATAACAGAAAAATACACCTCGTGGAATCCGCCATGATGCCCGGGCGGCTGCCATGCTTCATCGAGTAACTGAAGCTTAAGATGTGCGACACGTCCGAAAGTGTATGAGCTTCGTTGATCATATATTCTCAAGTATCAATGAACTCAACGTATGCCTTTTCTTCTGCGCGATCGAATATGTAAGTCTGTCCCAAGACCAAACACTGCTGATCTCAACGACATCCACTGTCAAGCTGTGAACAAGCTCGATACCTGTGTATAAACTAGTGGAAGTCTAAGAAGCCGAGCTGGCAAAATAGTGTCAATGTAAATGACGCCAATGGCTTAGGTTGGCTGACCTAAGAGACGTGCAATCTGTTGAAGCTGGAAGTGACCCTCACTCGATGAAAGAGAGGACTTTCAAGCCTGAAATGGGCTGAGAATTAGCAACAGCGCCCCCTCGACATGCTCCAGAAAGATCCCTCCAAGAAAGGGGTAGAGAGAAAGCGGTATTCGAAGAAGCTAAGACAAGATGACCAGACTGAATAAGTATATGAAGGATGGCGATCCCCCAGCCCCTCCTCCTTCATCATCAGCATCACAAAGCAGCTGCGGCAGAAAACGCATCTGAAGTTTGATAATAACTCACTCTCTACGACAAAGTCATTCATTGAACGAAAAAAACCCTCCAAAATGCAATCATCTCTGATCACCCTCTTCGGCCTCATCGCTACCACTGTGATGGCTGTGCCCAGTTACCACGTCAGCACTCCTTACAAGTATGTATATCCTTCCCTGGAATATAGATCCCTCTGTTCTGTCGCCTCTCCTTCAGATACAGTAACACGGCTCTCTACGCTCCTAAAGAGGCAATTCGGAGAAAATACCATCATCTCAATCTTGGGCAAAGAACACCATACTGACTTGACTCGTTCTACTCCTCACTGAACAGGGCATGCAAGGGCGCCACATACTCTCAAGCCCAGTGCTGCTCGGTCGACATCCTCGGCGTCTCAGACTTGGACTGCGCTTCTCGTGAGTCACAAACCCATTCCCATATCCTCCGAACCCCGACTAATTGTTGCCGCGCGCTTCGCCTCCATTGCAGCCACACGAGTCCCTACCAGCGCCCATAATTTCGAGGCCATCTGCGCTGCTGGTGGTCAGCGTGCTCGCTGCTGCGTTGTCCCTGTTGTAAGTCATCGTCTACTTTATTTTCACCCTTAATTGTCCGTTTATGATGGCATCTTTGACCCCTATTTATCTACATAGGCTGATCAGGCTATTCTGTGCGACACTCCCGTTGGACTATAGATTGACTGGGTTTCGTCTCGTCCGATCCAATAAGGGGAGTTGATGGTCCTCATATCATGGCCTGCATCTAGCTCTGATTGCAGTCCCGCGGAGAAAGGAGCGCGTGTATGGGAGAAATGGAAACGGAGGTGATTGGTGATCTTAAAACTCATAAAAATTGCAGGTCTAGCTACTTAATGGAACCAACTTTTAGACCGCTATCTTACTTCTCCCACTTGAAATGAACAATTACAAATATCCGGCTAATTGGTAGCTTATCAGTTGACGCACGCAGACAGTGTATACAAGTTGCGAACTTAAAGGCAGGCTTAAACTCCTGTTTGATTACTTATGACAAGTCACAAGTTCTTTCAACAAGAGTACAAAGAAAAGAGGAAGGGCACATATCATGATACACCCACATAAAAGGAGCGAATAGTATCAGCGCATAACACAGCATGTCCACGGATCTCAGAAGGGTAAGAGTCAAGAAAGGTAAATACAGCCACTGAGTAACACATTCATGTCAGGACCATTTTCTTTCTATAATTGTGTGGTCAATGCTGCTGGCTTAGAATGCGGCTGTTTGCACCCTGCGCAATGTTCTTAATGTTGAACAAACAGCAAGGTTGCCAATAGTCAACACACCGCCTGCTTAGAGCAGTGGTAGCTCGTTACCCTCCGGTTGACATACTGGTGTTTAGGTAAAAGTCACGGGTTCGAATCCCGTAGTGGGTTTATTTTTCTTTTTAATGTTTTCCTGTCAGTTTTTAACCGCTTGGTTTCTTCCTAATCACGGATATATAACTAAGATAACTATCATTCTTATTTGTATATATATCTGCTATCCTCTAATGTATGACTATTTTATTCACTCTCGCTAGGTTGGTGATTATATGGTTTCACCTTATCATGTCATGTCGTAGGCTCAATCACTCTCTAGACCAAGTACTTCACTGGGGATCCTTTAATTTAGATCAATAATTCTTGCTTTTCTTCATCTTTCCAAGTATGAACTTGCGATAATGAGCTACGTATGAAGTTCTGCAGTTTTGATCATTGGCTATCACTAAGAGTGATGATAGAAATTATGCCCGTGAAGGAATTATTCGACCTTAAGAGGCCTTGGCCGTGCTAGCAGGGAAGCGCTTTGGGGTACGGTAGAACTTCTCTCTATCTACTAAGCCGCCAGGTTTCCAGTAGTCGTATTCAATCCATGCGTTTTCCTAAGACACATTGTCAGTCACGTTGTTACATCTTGCAAAGGTCTGCTAGAGATCTGTCGTGTAACGTTTGGTGATGATGTGAGAAAACGTCATAGCTCACCTCCATCTGCTCCTCAGTGGCCTCCAAATACGCACCGAGTTCAGGATGCAACGGCACTACCCCGCACTCTTCAACGTATTTATCCCAGTGGGTGAGCAACTCTTCAAGTTTCTTTGGCTCTGCTTCTGCAAGATCATCAATCTCACCAGCATCTTTGCTAAGGTCATACAGCTGCCAAGCATGCGGTCCCTTTGGTGCCGGAATGAAGACAGCCTTCCAGTTAGCGACACGGATCGCGGCCCTCCCGCAAAGTTCCCAGCCGTAAACGAAGTCGGGACCGTGTACTGAAGAGGAAGAGCCGTCAAGCCAGCCCACCATGCTCTTGCCGCGCATGCCTGTGATCTCACGACCCTGGTACGTGGGTGCCGGGTGCTTTACGCCGGCCATTTCCAGGAGAGTCGGAGCGATATCCATGACGGTCGCAAACTCGTGTTTCACAGAACCTTCCCCGCCGGTACCGACAACACCGGGCCCCTTGGCAATGCAAGGGACACGGACGCCGCCCTCGGTCGTATATAACTTGTACAACCGCGATGGAGCAGTTGCAGCCTGTGCCCAGCGTGGACCGTACCAGACAAAGGAGTCACCCGCACCGATGTTCTCTAGTGAGTTATTGTAGTACTTGCGGATATGATGCAACAGTGGCCCTTTAACGAGGGGATACGCCTCATACGCGGCCCCCTCGGCGCCGTTGTCGGACATGAACATGACGAATGTGTTATCGAGCTCCCCAATCGACTCTATGTAATCCATGACGCGACCGACGTTAGCATCAATGCACTCAATCATTCCAGCATAAGCTTCCATGGCTCGGCATGACATCTTTTGCTCGAATTCGGTGAATTGATCCCAGCCCTCGACACGCGCATCATCCACGACGGGGTGCGGCTTGGTGTCCTTGTCAATCAGTCCTAGTTCGACGAGGCGTGCTAACCGCTTCTGCCTCAATACTTCTGGGCCCTCATCATACACTCCACGGTAGTTGTCTATGTGTTCTTTGGGAGCTTGCAAGGGCCAATGCGGGGCAGAGAAGGGCAAATAGGCGAAGAAAGGACGATCCTGGTTTGAACCTTCCTTTTTCTTGTCCTCATTCCATTCCTTGAGGTACTCAACTACCTTGCCGCCATAGGCATTCGATGAATAGAAGTCCTTGGGTAAGTCTTCGAGATCGACGAATTTACCGTTTTCGTTATGGAGACAGATCAAACTTGTGTCGAGGAACTGCGGAGTTCCGTTTTTGATCCTGTGGCGCTTGGGTGGTTAGCTAGGCTATGTCCGGAGAAGTTGCTGTATTTCTAGTATAGGGGGCGTCTTCAACTTACTCGCCCTCGGGTCGATAATTGAAATGGTTTGAGCTTCCCGGAAGCATAGCGAAGGCGCGTTCGAACCCCCGAGCATGTGCCGATCGTTCTGGCTTCAAGCCGAGGTGCCACTTGCCGGCCATCAATGTGCGGTAGCCATTATCACGGAGGACCTCAGCGACGGTCACGACACGCTCATTGAGATAGCCCTCATAGCCGGGCATGCCTCTCTGTGGTTTCGAGTCATACGGCTTGCCACTTTCAGTCAAAGGCTCATTTTCAAATCGTGACCAGCCAGTGTAGTTTGTGAACTCGATCAGATTGCCGAGACCGGCAATGTGGTGATCAGTGCCGGTCATAAGCATGGCTCTTGTCGGACTGTTGAAACCTTATGAGTTACATTTCATTCTCACCGTGTATTTTTGATAAAACGTTTGCTTACGAGCATGCAGCAGCAGCGTGGAAACCGGTGCAGCGAACACCTTGACTCGCCAGCTTGTCAATGTTTGGAGTCTTGATTTCCCCGCCAAAGCAGCCCACATCTGAGAAGCCCATGTCATCCGCCACGATGATGAGGAAATTTGGGCGTTTAGCAGTTCCGATAGCCATGATTGCGGATGTGAAGACAAAGTTGGGTTGAGCTCTATGTTTAGCAAAACGAGGGCTAGAGGTTTAGCAGCAGAGGAAGCAAGGAGATAGCTCAAATAGTATCTAAGGTGAATTTCAGTCCCAAAAGAAAGTGAGATGATTCGAGGGGGTTTCCAAAGAGGTCATGGGGAAGCGAAAACCCTGCGAGTCTCGCTGATTATTAACTGTCTGGGCAATTGCATGTAGTGGAACTTGAAGGCCCAATGATGAAAGACAACTCTGCCAAATAGGTAATGTCTTTATGCCCTTGTACTCCGAAATACAACTCCAAACATCTGGTACTACTCCATACATACAGCACTCATACAGAAAAGCAACAATGCCCATTCTGCTCACGCGATCAATAGCGAGCCAAACCCCGCCTATTCCACCATCCGATTGTGACGCGTTAAAAGTGGACTAGATGGGGGCGCCATCATAGCGAATCTTAGGTCGGCAGACCAAGGTCCACCCCCGCAAAGTAAGGGGCTAAATGAGCAATAAGACAGCCCACCCATGTCATCTAGTCTCGGCGTCTCTCGAATAGGAGATCAGATAAATCCGGTCGTCTGGGAACATTGCAATCTGATGTGCCTATTGCGTGATAGCCCCGTGGCCATTAGTCACACCCAATAGCATTTGTTGCTTGTTGTGCCGCATCAAGCCCTGCTCAGGTCTTATGGCTGCAGTCTCAATAAGTATCGGCCAATTCCATCAACACATCCTTCACACGCCATGGAGCACTCAGCTTCTCGCGACACCGCGGACCTGGTTGTTGAGCCAGCCATGACTACCACCAACAGCAGAGCGACCGCCAAGGTCGAATCCGCACGCTATGTCTTTCGTAAGATGACTTTGCGATTATTCCTCGTCTGGATGGCCACAGCGATGATCAATATCATCTTCGGCTACGAGACGACTAGTTTTGGTGGCGTCCAGAGCATTCCAGGTTTTGTCCGCCAGTTCGGCACTGAAGTCTCTCCTGGTAAATGGGAGCTTTCGGCCGCGAGGGCGTCATATACAAGCTCTACAGCCTTCGCGGGCAAGCTGATCGGATCCCTGGTACGCTGTGTTATTTCCAACAGATTTTATTCGCAAATTTCTTACCGGCTTGGTTTTAATAGGTGGCACCGTTTTTCGTCGAGCGTTGGGGCCATCGAATCGCCATTTGGGTTGTTGTTGCTACCGTCTGGATAGGCGTCATCCTCGAGGCAACGTCTAACAACATCGGCCAGTTCATTGTCGGCCGTATCGTCATTTACTTCAGGTAATGAGATACCCGGATTTTGGAAGTTGCCGACTCAGGTGACGAGTTAACTGACATGGACTTTTCGCAACAGCGTGGGTATAGCGGAAGTAACTTCGACGTAAGTCTTAGTACCCTGAATTGGCAGCAGCGATAATGACGTGTTTTCTGCTTCCAGGGGCTACCAGTCCGAGATTGTGCCTGCCGCCATGCGGGGTACTGTAGTTGGGTCTATTCAGCTTTTCAACCTTTTCGGCCAGATCTTCGCGGCCGGCGTCAACCGAGCATTTTCAACGTCCACGGCCAGTAGTGGGTAAGCAGTGTCTGTGATATTGGAGTGTGCAGCATTTGCTTTTGTGACACTAACATTTTTTGGCCGCTGTTCTATACAGGTGGATTGTGCCCGTGTCTATTCAAGCGGCGATACCTGTGTTTATCTTCATCTTCACCTTCTTCATACGTAGGTTGCTTGATTGTACTCCATCGATCAAAGCCGAAGTACATTGATACTAATGTCCTACGGATAGCGGACTCGCCCCGTTGGCTGCTGAGCAAAGGCCGCAAAGAGGATGCCATCAAAGTTCTCGATCTGATTCGCCCAGACGAAGATGTTCAAGCTGGTCTCAGTCGCCTTGAGATCAATGCCATCCAGGAAGCAATCGAAAACGAGCTTGAGAAGGCCCCATGGATTAACATGGTTGTGAGTATCCAAACACACCGTACTCTCTCATTTGCAGTGGCTAACGCTTAGCTCTTTCGATGATGCCTGACAGAAAGGAGTCAATCTTCGCCGGTCTCTGATCGGCTGTGGTCTTTTGGGTCTTCAGCAATTGCTTGGACAGGGTTTCGTTTCGGGATGTAAGTATCCAATCATCACTCATCTCTGGAATTCAAGCCCTCTGAAACGATGGACTTGCTTGTTCAATAACTTTAGATTCTCCGAGATTCTATGCAACGGTTGGTCTCTCGAAGTACGCGTTCGATTATAATATCGGATCGGCCACAATTGGCTGGGGCGGTGCTTTATTTGGCATGCTTCTAAGCGATTTTGTCGGGCGTCGTGATGTTTTGATCGTCGGTGGCCTGTTCTGTACCACGTTTCTCTTTCTCGTTGCTGGAGTTGGCATTGGCGATCACCCAACAGGAGGAGATGCGAAGGCGCTTGTCGCTGGAGTTCTGCTCTATAACTTCTTTTATTCGGGGTGAGTCATCATCTCTCTGTGCTTAAGATCGTATAA